CAGCGCCTAGGACTCATGTTCAAGGTAATTCCCCACAAGACTATTTTCCTTCCCAAGCTCCACAATATTCTGTTCCATACAGTCCATATCATGTTTTTAATGCACAACCAATTGCACCCCGTTCTTATCCACAATGGCGTGCACCAACTCCACAAAATCATCCACCACCCCCATAAGTTCATCAAAATACTGCTAGAATTCCTTTCCATCCTAGACCACAATACAAAAAGGGAAATGGCGTTAAAGATGAGTTCACTCCTATTGGGGAGTCGTATACTAGATTTTTCCAAAAATTAAGGACGTTAAATGTTTTGAGTCCTATTGAGAGAAAGATGTTGAATCCTTCCGAGAAATTTGGATTATTCTCAACATTGCGCATATTGTTTTAATGCCCCGGGGCACAACATAGAGAGATGTTGGTATTTGAAAAGGGCTATTCAGGATTTGATCGATTCTAATCGAATTATAGTTGAAAGTCTGAGTGGACTAACCATCAATCAAAATCTATTGCTGAGGCATACTGAAACAAACATGCTAGAAATAATGAGGGTCATGAAGAGTTTGTGTCTCTGTATAAGCCAATCCTTAGGGTGGGAACTGGCATTGAGAAGTCAACAAATGTTGTTGATTTAACAAAACTGATGCCTTTAGGGACGGAAAGTGTGTTAGAAAAGTTGAGTCCATCAAACACACCCATCTTAACTGTGAAAGGAGCCCCTGAAGATGTTTGGGCAAGTCCGAGTAAGGCAAAATCGTTTGTTCCAAAAAGGCCAAACAAGCCTATCTTGATCGTGCAAGGGGCCCATATTCATCCTGTGATTATCAGGCCAGTATCCCAGCTATCAATGACTAACCCCAAAGCTGTTCCCTGGAATTATGAGCCTACTGTCGTGACATACAAGGGAAAAGAAATTGATAAAGAAACAAATGAAGTAGGAGGAATAACCCGTTCAGGAAGATGTTATGTCCTGATGGAATTAAGGAAAACTAAAAATGACCAAATACAAGTAAAGAGTCCGGTCACTGAAGGAGAGGCAGAGGAATTCCTAAGGAAGATGAAACTATCAGACTACTCCGTGGTGGAACAATTAAGAAAAACTCCAGCCCAAATCTCTTTGTTGTCTTTGCTAATACATTCTGATGAACATCGTAACGCTGTAATGAAAATTTTGAATGAAGCACATGTTCCTAGTAAAGTTATAGTGAGTCAGTTAGAGAAGATTGCTGGGAGAATATTTGAGGTAAACCGCATCACCTTTTCAGATGATGAACTACCCAAAGAAGGTACAGGTTATAACCAAGGCCTACATATCACTGTAAAGTGTGAGCTTTCATATGTCACTCGAGTTCTAATTGATGAAGGATCTGGAGCAAATATTTGTCCTTTATCAACTCTACAGAAATTGAATGTTAGTGCTGAAATGGTCCAACCCAACAATGTATGTGTTAGAGCTTTTGATGGGTCAAAAACAAATGTCATTGGTGAAATAGAGCTCGTACTAACCATAGGAAATGTGGATTTCCCTGTGAATTTTCAAGTGTTGGGTATAAACGCGTCCTACAATCTATTGTTGGGGAGGTCATGGGTGCATAAGGCTGGAGTAGTCCCCTCAACGTTGCATCAAATGATGAAGTTTGAATACGACCGACAAGAAGTGATTGTTCATGGTGAGGGGGATTTGTCAATCTACAAAGAATCTTCCTCCCCTTTTATCAAGGCAAATAATGAGAATGAGGCACTGGTTTATCAAGCTTTTGAGGTAATGGTTATTGAGCATGTCCCCGAGGGGAGTGTCATTTCAAAACCAAAGATGCCTATCGTGTCTGTAATGGTGGTGAATGAATTGCTGAAACATGGGTTTGAGCCAGGTAAAGGCTTAGGAATCTGCTTGCAAGGGAGAGCTTATCCATTGAGTCTATGAAAGAGCATCGGTACTTTTGGATTAGGCTACCAACCTAGAGTCGAGGGAAATAAAGTAAAAGAAGAAGAAGAGAGATGTATGGTCACTTACCAAGCCTATACAACCAATCTACAAATCTTTCATCAAAGCCCGCGCAACAAAATCTTATCATTCATTTTTTCCAGAGCAATGATGAAAGTAAGCGAATAAATGATCAACTATTTTCAAGATTTATTTGTCGAGGTTGATATGGTGGAACTCGGAGAAGGCACTAGCGACAGAGATGTGCAATTCATTGGTCCTGATGTCAAGCTAAACAATTGGGAGGCCACCCTTCTCCCCATTAAAGACGAGTATTGGTAGTCTGTCTTGTTTTTATTTTTATCGTCCGATTCATTCAAGGATTGTAATTTGGATTTTATCTTGTCGTTTTATTTCAAATATTCTATTTCCCTTTTCAATAGGATGTAATAGCATCTTTATTTTAGTCTAATATATTTGTTCGTTTTCTTTTATACAGTTCTTTCAATGCCGATTCTAGTGATATGACATGCATGCAAAAATTTTCACCAGATCTTAATATCCAATCTAATCTTAGACCTAATATTGAAATAATAAGTCAAGAAATCGAATATGGTGAAGACAGAGTATTTGAGGAAGTAAGGAGGGATTTCAATCATTTTGAAAATAAGTCAAATCCAAACATGAGTGAAACTGAGACGATAAATTTGAGGGATCGGGAAATTATTAAGGAGACTAAGATAAGTGTACATGTTCGACATCAAAAAGACGATATATTCCAGGCCCTGTTTGATTACAAAGATGTTTTTGCGTCATCTTATGATGACATGTCTGGATTAAGCACTGACATAGTTGTTCACAAGTTGTCAATTGATCATAATTTTCCTCCAATAAAGCAGAAGTTGAGAAAACTCAAAACCGACATGAGTGTAATAATTAAAGAGGAGATCACAAAACAACTTGAGGCCAAAGTCATTCAAGTTGCTCAATATCCTTCTTGGTTAGCCAATATCGTACCCGTCCCTAAGAAAGATGACAAAGTTCGAATGTGTGTTGATTATCGTGATTTGAATAAGGCAAGTCCAAAAGATGATTTTCCTTTTCCTAACATCCATATTTTATTGGATAATTGTGCTAAACATAAGGTTGCATCTTTTGTGGATTGTTATGCGGGCTACCATCAGATTATTATGGATGATGAAGATGCAGAAAAAACATCTTTTATCACTCCATGGGGTACATATTGTTATCGTATATGCCTTTTGGATTAAAAAATGCAGGGGCAACTTATATGAGAGCATGACAACCATGTTTCACGATATGATACATAGAGAAATCGAAGTTTATGTGGATGATGTTATCATTGAATCTAAAAAACAGTCAAATCATGTGAAAGACTTAAGGAGATTCTTCGAAAGGCTCCGCAGGTATAATCTCAAGCTTAATCCTGCAAAATGTGTACTTGGAGTACCATCGGGGAAACTTTTGGGGTTTATAGTCAGTCGAAGAGGTATCAAGTTGGAGCCTTTAAAAATAAAAGCAATTCAAGAATTGCCACCTCCAAAGAACAAAACTGAGGTTATGAGCCTTCTAGGAAGGTTAAACTACAACAGCAGATTCATTGCTCAACTCACAACAACTTGTGAGCCTATCTTTAAGTTGTTGAAAAATAATGCCACAGTCGAGTGGACCGAAGAATGTCGAGAAGCTTTTGGAAGAATTAAGAACTACCTATCGAATCCCCTTGTGTTGGTTCCTCCCGAGCCTGGAAGACCTTTGATATTGTATATGTCAGTACTGGATAATTCTTTTGGTTGTGTACTTGGTTAGCATGATGACACTGGGAAGAAAGAGCGGGCTATTTATTACCTCAGCAAGAAGTTTACCGTTTACAAAGCGAAGTACACCCTTCTTGAAAGAACGTGTTGTGCCCTAACTAGCACAGAAGTTGAAACATTATCTTTCATCTTACACTACTTATCTCATCTCTCGTATGGATCCGTTGAAATATATTTTTCAAAAGCCAATGCCCACAGGCAGGCTTGTGAAATGACAAATATTGCTCACAGAGTTTGACATTATCTATATAACGTGGACCACAATGAAAGCTCAAGCATTGGCAAATCATTTGGCAGAGAACCCTATTGATGAAGAATATGAACCACTTAAAACCTATTTTCCAGATAAAGAGATATCTTGTATCGATGAAGTTATTCACGATAACAATCAAGGTTGGAAGTTATTCTTTGATGGTGCCTCTAACAGGAAAGGAGTTGGAATATGAGTTGCTCTTATGTCTGAATCAGGGGAGTATTACCCTATATCAACCCAACTTATATTAGTGTACTAATAATATGTCTGAGTATGAAGCGTGCATTTTGGGTCTAAGGTTAGCGGTTGACATGGGTATCCAAGAATTGTTAGTGTTAGGAGACTCAGACTTACTAGTTCATCAAATTCAAGGAGAATGGGAAACTCGAGACCTAAAGCTCATACCATATCAACATTGTTTACAAGGTCTTTGTCAACAATTTGTGTCGATAAAGTTTAGACACATTCCCAGAGTACACGATGAGATTGCAAATGCATTGGCCACTTTATCTTCGATGCTCCAACACCCTGATGGCGCTCATATCGACCCTTTATACATACAAATTCGTGATCAACATGCTTATTGCAACATGATTGAGGAAGAATTTGATGGTAAGCCTTGGTTTCATGATATCAAAACATATCTTCAGTCTGGAGAATGTCCGTCAGATGTAACCAGTAATCAAAAAAGGACTATTCGACGACTAGCAAGGGTTTTTTTTAAGCGGAGGCATACTGTACAAGAAGACACCCGATTTAGGTCTTCTAAGGCGTGTAAATGCTCAAGAGGCCTCCACAATCATTATTGAAGTACACTCAGGAGTTTGTGGACCTCATATGAATGGATATGTTCTAGCCAAGTAGATACTTCGAGCAGGATATTATTGGCTCACTATGGAGCGGGATTCCATATGATTTGTTCGTAAATGTCATGAATGTCAAATACATGGTGATTTGATACATTCTCCCCCTTCTGAGTTGCATGCAATGTCTGCTCCATGGCCTTTCGTGGCATGGGGAATGGATGTGATTGGACCGATAGAACCAAAAGCATCGAATGGTCACATGTTCATCTTGGTGGCCATTGATTATTTAACAAAGTGGGTGGAAGTAGTAACTTTCAAGTCAGTGACCAAGAAAGTCGTGGTGGATTTCATCCATTTCAACATCATCTGTCGGTTTGGTATTCCAAAGGTGATTATAACTGACAATGCCGCAAATCTCAACAGCCACTTAATGCAAGAGGTATGCTACCGATTTAAGATTGAGCATCGAAATTCGACTCCCTATCACCCAAAGGCAAACGGGGCTGTAGAAGCTACTAACAAAAATATAAAAAAGTTACTTCGTAAGATAGTGCAAAGTTCTCGACAATGGCATGAAAAGTTGCCTTTTGCTTTGTTGGGTTATCGCACTACAGTCCGTACGTCAGTGGGCGCTACCTCATATTCACTGGTATACGAGACTGAGGCAGCCCTAATGTTGGGTTCGGTTCAACCAAATACATATGATTGAGTTCCGACATTGGAAACCCTTATGTTTGGTCTCGACATTTCAAGGGTTGATTCAATGGGATCTCTTGGTTATGTTGTTTCCTTGACTTTTCAAAAAAAAAACAAATTGCCTAAACTATGTTTGACCTGATTCTTGTTTCAGCAAGATACGTAGGCAGCCCTAATGTTGGGTTCGGTTCAACCAAATACAAATCCAAAAATTCATATTGTAGTATACTGGGGCAAAAGTCGTTTGTTTATTCATTTGATCTCTTATCTCAAAGTTCAAAATCAACCCCATCATCTAAAGTCAATAAAAAAAAGTCTTTGCATCAACCCTTAATATGTCGAGAGTAAGTTGGTTAAGGGTAGGTAAAAATCCTGAATGGGCACCATAAGACAAATGTGAGTAAAAAGAAATAAAAATGAGAGAGTCTTATTGGTGAAAACCCTAAGTGGGCACCGTAAGGCGAAAATGAGTTGAATATTAGAGTCTTATTGGTGAAAATTCTGACATGCACCATAAGGCAGACGTGAGCTGGAGCAATTAACATGATAGAGTTTTAGCGGCAAAGACCTTTGTGAACATCACAAAGTGTATAAGGGTTCCAAATTATTTATGGCTTCATTAAGTGTCAGTATTCCACATCAAGATTGAATGATCAATAGTGGTTGATGAATAGATTGGATATACAAGTATGGAAATCAATTCAAATTGCATGGCATGATCAATAGACTCGGTTCCCACACTCAGATAAGTTTTTCTTTCTTCTTCTTTTCTTTTATTCTCGTATAGTTTGTAGTTTTCTTATACTTTTTCGTCACTTTATTTGGTATGTATTTGGGTCGAGTCTTTGTCAAAAAACTAGGAAGGAATTTCAAGACTCGCTACCAAGTCTCTAAACGGTACTAGGAAAAGCATCAGGCTACTGAGTTATAATCTGTCTTCAAGTGTTCAATTTGAAAATTCTCTGATTCTATGAAGGCTAAAAAATGAGTGTGTTAGATAAAGACATTGGATTTAGGTCCCAAAATAAGCAAATTTGGATGAAAGTACAATCAATCAATAAGAAGTATTGACCGTTGGAAACAACCAAAGTGTCATAAGTGTTAGAGCCACCCTTGTCAAAAGATGGAACCACAAACCAACCACCACCTTTTCAAACTCACGAATTTTCTTTGTTGAAGCAGGGATACAAGTCGTTTCAAGATTGAAGATTCGAGGAACCTAGATATTCAACCTAGTCTACAGCGAGCGAAATGGAAATCCTACAATGAAGACTTATGGAATGTTATATGAAAGTTGGCTAATATATATCAAAATAGCAATTACCTGAATGTTAGAATATTTATTTTATTTATTATTATTATTATTATTATTATTTTTCTCCTTGAAGGAACAACCAAATAATGAAGATAGCATTCACAATGTTTCGTTGGTATTATTAGTTTGTTGAAAATTTTATTAGCAGAACCCTCGTGGATAATGGGATTAGCAGGACCCTCGTGGATAATGGACTAGCAGGACCCTCTTGGATAATGAGATTAGCAGGACCCTCCTGGATAATGGGACTAGCAGGACCCTCCTGGATAATGGGATTAGCAGAACCCTCCTGGATAATGGGACTAGCAGGACCCTCCTAGATAATGGGATTAGCAGGACCCTCCTGGATAATGGAACTAGCAGGACCCTCCTGAATAATGGGACTAGCAGGACCCTCCTGGATAATGGGATTAGCAGGACCCTCCTGAATAATAGGACCAGTAGGACCCTCCTGGATAATGAGACCAACAGGACCCTCCTGGATAATGGGACCAGTAGGACCCTCCTGAATAATGGGAACAACGAAACCCTCCTGGATAATGGGACCAGCAGGTCCCTCCTGAATAATGGGACCAGCAGGACCCTCCTGAATAATGGGACAGGACCCTCCTGGATAATGAGACTAGCAGAACCCTCCTAGATAATAGGACTTGCAGGACCCTCCTGAATAATGAGATTAGATTACTTTCTCATAGGATTAACACTTCCTAGTCTAGATTTTTAGTTTTATTTCTCCTAAAATAAACACTTCCTAGCTGGAGTTATGTTTTATATTTATATTTGCTAATAACTTACAAAAAAAATTCCAGTGAAAATTGGGGGAAATTTTTTATTTATTTTTTTGTTTGTGGTGGTTCTCAGGTTTTCTCAAGCGAGACATCGATTTGAAATTCAAGAACAAAGTTTCAATTTTTTTTAGAATAATCAATTTCGTGATGGTTAGAATTTGCTTTTTCAATACATGTAGCAGTCTGACTTCCTCACATCTTTTACTATTCAACTTTTGATCAAGAAAACGCATTCATTCAAGAGCATTTTTTAAGTTGTCATTTTAAAGAATGTCAAAAGTTCCGTCTAAGTGACAAGTTCAGCCTCCATTCCAATTCTAAGTTAAGATATTCACTCAAAAATCAAGGTGATATTTTAAAGTCAAAATTCAAGTGAAGATTCAAAAAAAGTTGTGTGGAAAGAAGTTTGTACATTTATTTTTCTTTTGACTAATAGCTTTCAATTTTTATGTAAGGATAAGAGCCGCAATCTGGAGACTCGATGGAACCTCACTTAACTCCCAACTCATCACTTTATCTCCTCGAACTACATGTGGCCTGATTCCCTTATCATCCGAGATATGTAGGATGTCCAAAACAAGGACTCGGTCGCACAAATTTTGGTCTTTCAAATAAGAGTTCGGTCAAAATTTGTCACTTTGTCTACTTCTTTGTCTGAAAATCCTTCATATTTCCAGTCAAAGAGGGGAAAACTGTAGACACGTAATTTTTGACCGAATTTAAGTTTAACACTAATATTTAGAGCATAAATAATTTTATCAATCTACAGAAATATAATTTTTATTAGAAAAGTTTATTTTGATTGTTAAAAAAAAGAATATATATATATATATATATATATATATATATATATTCATTTATCCATTTAGATTTTATTTATTTATTTACTCAAAACAACTGATAATTATATGATTATCATTTTATATATATTTAATATAAGAAAAAAAGTTTTTCCCAATATCCTCACTTTACCAACTCCCCCACGACCACCTACACATGTACACACGTACACATTGCACACACCTTCACTATTATAATATACAGACAAAATTACATAACAAAGGGGGAGGGAAAAAAAGAAGAGGAAAAAAGGGAAGAAAGAAAAAAAATCACAATAGAGAGGGGGATTTTCGAAGAAAGAAAAAACAATATACATCGTATTTTTATTTATTGTGATAGAAATCTTGAGGTCCATTCTTGTGATTCCAAGTTCGTGACTCCTAATTGCTGTTTTATTTTCTTTTTCTCGTGAACCAGTTTTTGTCAGAGGTAACATTTATTCATATCCTATGTTGTATAATGTATGTTACCATTGAGTAAGAATTGAATTTCGTACATTAAAGTTGTTCATTGAAACTTATTAATATTTCTTTGACATAATAACTATATTAATCATGAGTTTTATTCTCATTAACTATAATGTAACAACGGTGGACTATATGATTATGTTTCACATGTACAAAGGTTCGATTTTATTTATTTACATTTTTATGTATACAATACGTAGATAGTCATGAATTTTATTTTGTTTAAGTTTTACTTTAGTACATTTGTTGATGACTGATTCGATTGACAAGTGAACGTGGTTATTTTCTTTGCATAACTTTAAAATATATAAAACGGGTTATCTGCTGGCAATTCCTATTCATGAATCTTATGTGTATTTTGCATAATTAGTACCTAAATTAAGATTTCATCTAATTTGTTTTGTTATTGGGTTTAAGAAGAAAAAAAAGAACAACAAATAAATAAATAGAAAGTGACAGAAAATATACTTGAAAGAGGGAAAAATAGAAATAAGAAAAGAGCTCAACAAAACGTAAGGAAAAAATGGTTAAAAATGCATATACAAATAAAGAAAAACACAACACCACAACAAAATTAAAAAAAAAGAAGGAAAAAAAGTGTGAGAAAAAAAATGAAAGACAAAGAAGAAAAGAATAAGAAATATAAGTAGGAAATGTAAAATAAAAGATTTGTTTTTTTTAAGGCAAAAGGTTTAAAAAACATGCAAGAAAATTGAGATAAAGAGAAAAAAAGGGGTGGGGGTGGGGGGGATGCGAGCAAAAGATATAATTAATAAAATAAAGATGAAAAAAATAAATATTAATATAAAGAATGTTAAAAATAGGGTTACAAAATTATTAAAGAATAAAAAAAAGGATGTGCAAAGAGAATAAAGAAAAAAAAAGCAACCAAAAACGTAAAAAAGAAAATCTGCCCCAAAAAAAAGGCAAAAAAGATTAGCAAAGCCAAAAAAAATACAATAAAGAAAAAATAAATAAGAAAAATAAAAAGAGAAATTAAGAAACAAGCAAAATGTTGAAGGAATAAAAAAAATAATGTATAAAAATTTGACATGCTTATAAAATTGGATAGTTTTAAATATATTGGATAAATCAAAGATTTGGGGGTAAATACATTTGTTTTAACAATATAATATTCAAAAATTAGTGAAGTCATAAAAGTCCATAAAACAACCGTGTTAGAATCATGAGACTCGAGGGATGCCTAATACCTTTCCCTCTGTCAACAGAATTCCTTACCCGAACTGGTTCACAGACCAAACAAAGAGTCATTTCCTTTTGATTAGGGATTAAACAAAAAAGGTGACTTGGAAGACCGTAACTCAATTCCAAGTGGCGACTCTAAAAAAAATTAATTAAAATAATCCCCTAATTAATTACGTCACTTAAATTGAAAAAACCCTTACGCCGCTGCGCGAAAAAGGGGTGTGACAAGTGTTACATAATTATTTGCGAGAATACCAAAGGAGTGATGAAATATTTATGGTCTATGAGCGCGAAAATATATTTGCAAATGATATTGACCACAAATAACTCAAAGTAATAATGTTGGTTCGTCTTCTCGGTCTTATGATCGAGAAATGCAAGTTCAACGTGAGGAGAT